GGAGCCTTTTCCATGGCACTTTGAATGGCAAATTTCAATCAACCCAACAGGTCCAATGGAAAGAGAATGCCAAGGACTGCTCCTAGCCAGTCCCCAATGTACTTGGGGGATAGGAAAGAGGGCTCCAGGAGGCACCACCTCCCCAGTGGCGCAGAGTCCTCTAGTGCCATGTCCAGGCCAGGGGGCAGGCACGCCATCACCTCCTCCCCAGGCAGGTCCTTCTCATTGTCCTGCACGGGGGTTTCCAGAGGGATGCAGCGTGCAGGGCTGGGTGACGCTCTCTGCACCTGCTCTGCTGTCCATTCTCCTGCACTGCTCTGGCTGGGCCCTGCTGCCCCGGCGTCAGCCCTCTCAGCACATGGAGAGTCAAAGCACTTTACAAAATAAAAGCAGAAGAGCGAGCCAGAGGGGCGAGCAGCCCACCTGTCCCGCACCAGGGGTCCTTCCGGCCCTGGGGCTCTGCTCCACCCTGCCAGGTGGGTCTGTCTGTGTGTGCTGCCCAATCTGCATCCGTCAGCTCCCGCAGCCCCAGCCAGTGTCCCCTGTGTGCGGGCATGGGTGGGCACAGCCCCTGGAGCTATACCCTGGTGGTGGAGTGTGAGTGCGGGAGCCCCGTACTGTTGAACCCTGCTGCAAAGGTGTTGTAGGGGTGCAGGGTCTGTAGGCCCACCAGGGAGTTGGGGATCATGGTGATGGTGTTGGGGGTCATCAGAGGGATGTCGTCTGGGGAGCGGCGCAGAGTCAGTGTGTAGTCGGGCAGGGAGGTGAGCCGCAGGGCATCGTGTGCCTGCCCTGACTCGCATTCGTGGTGGGCCTGGTTCATCTGCAGGGAGGGGATCTCCTCCTCAGGCGTGTGGCCGATGTCGTTGGGGGCGCTGCGCTGGGGGCTGGGCTGGCGGTGTGTGTCCTGCCGGCGCTTGTCCTTGCGGTAGTAGAGCGCAGCGAAGGCCAGCACGTTGAGGAAGAGCAGGGAGGCCCCCACAGCGATGGTGACGCTCAGCTCGGTGGAGTAGTCCCGGGGGTTCTCGATCAGCAGCGTGCCGGCCTCCTGCTCCGGGCTCCACTTCTCCTTGGGGTTCTCGCTGTTGTAAGCCGGGGAGATGGCCGGGCGCTTGGTAGTCCAGATTTTGCCGTTGGGCCGGCGGGTGATGTGCGAGTTCTGGGTGGCGTCTGGCGGCGGCACTTTGGTGGTGGTCGAGGTATAGTGGAACATGTCGTGCAGGTTGTACAGGTGGGGCACCAGGTGCTTCCAGAAGGCCACCTTGGTGGCTCGGTAGTGGTCTCGTACCCTTGGCTTCAGGCCGATGTGCAGGTACAGCTGGTCGCGAGGGTTGTACTTGGACCACGCCACTTCCTCAAAGCGGTTGGCCTTGGTGTGAATGAACTTGGTGTCCTGGGGGACAGGCTTGTTGGGGTCCCTGGGAAACACAACGGAAACCGTCCATGTGGCACTGGAGAAACACGCAGAGACAGGGTGCTGCACAGAGCTCTGCGGGAGCCACACGCAGACAGGGCCCAGCCCATCGGGAGAGGCTCTACCAGCACCTTAGAGCCCCGCAGAGTGCAGAATGGCCCCTGCTGGGGCTCATCAACCCCGACCCACAGCCCCCGGCTGGCCCAGCTCTGCCAATGCTCCTTGATTCTCACCTCGGGTCTCATGCTTCCCCTATTGTCAGAGCCGGGCACCTGGCTGCAGTGAGGGGCTCCTGCACAGAGACTGTAACGCAGGCTTAAGCTAAACTCACCCCCACCCCCACCCCCTCTTGTGAAATCTCCATTGGACTCGGCCCTCCAGATGGCAAGGTAGGTGCCTGACCCAGCTGCGCACCAGGCTGCTCCAGCCAGCGCTGAGCCGGCCAACGGAACCAAGCAGGGAAGCAGCTACGCTAACCCAACGCAGTGTAGCAACCCCCTGCGAATGGCATCCACATCTCTGCTTGGGGGATTTCCCAGCATCCTCCCAGTGCCTCAAGAAATTCCGCCCCTCCACGGCCCTGCCTGTGTAGGCGGCTCCGCAGTGATGCCCTGACCCCTGGAGGAGTCACAGTCAGGGCAGGATCCTCCCCTGATTGCCAGACTCCCGACCCCAGAGTGTGCCCCAGAGAGAGGGTGCGCACACGTGGGGAGGGTGCGCGCGCACACACATACACAAGTGCGGGGAAGGAGGGCACGCGCGCACACACACACACGTGCGGGGAGGGAGGGCGCATGTACATGCACACACACACGTGTGGGGAGGGAGGGCGCATGCACACACACACATATGCGGGGAGGGACGGCGCGCGCACACACACACGTGTTAGGAGGGAGGGCATGCGTGCACACACACATGTGCAGGGAGGGAGGGCACACACACGTGCGGGGTGGGAGGGCGTGTGCACACACACACAGACACACACACACGTGCGGGGAGGGGGGCACACACACACACACACAAAGGGAGTGCACACATGCACACAGGGAGGGAGCACATACCCCCTTCCTCTGGAAAGGTGTGCACACATACACAGGGAGGTGCGAGACCGGACGCACCCCTGCAGTCACACCCTACACCACTGTAATAATCTTCATACAAAATATGCCTTACGAGGTATCATTTGAGAACTAGTAACTCACTGGTGAGTAATACCATGGTGACGTGTGTGAAGCAACTTTCTATGTACAGTTAGGAACATAAGATGAAATTACGCCTGAAATGTGTTTACCAGACAAGTCTGGGGAGGGGGTAAGCCTGTTTCTCAAAGACAAAGGACAAGCTGACACCTCTTGCCAGGTGTCAAAGTTGATTGGCCATTACCAGTCACGTGACCATTCTTTGGCAACATGGGGGGACAGGAACAGATGGATTTGTGATTTAGCAAACAGCACGGAACCTCTTTCACCACCAGACTCCAGGTCTCCATCCTCACGGTGGGAAGGAACTTTCCCAGGGGAACCCCTCAGGAAAACACATTTTAAGGGGAACTGGACGATAAAAGTGAGGGGCTAAAACACCCCAGGGAGTTGCTCTCTCACCTAAGACAGTGGTTTTCAACCTGTGGGCTGCAGATCTTTGGGGGTCCCCACACTATGGCTAAGTTTCCAGAGGGGCCCGCACCTCCATTTGAAAACGGGCCTGCCCTAGGAGGGCACAGGAACCAGGCTTTGGACTCTGGCAGGGACTGAGACGAACATTTAGTCAGCCCTGTTGATGGGAGCATGTGGTAGGGATTTGACCTTGAACCATGTCTAGCTCATTAAGTCTTAGTTACTGGGAAGTGTTTTAGCTTTATTTCTCTCGTAACCATTTCTCATGGTACTGCCTTACACCTGTCTTCTTTCTTCAGATCTAGCTCTCGGTAGTTAAACAAACAGGTTTGTGTTTTTAAGCAGACCTAATCCAGTGCTGTGTTGACACTGAACGCCAATTAAAGTAGCAAACCGTTGTGCACGGACCCCTTACAGGGGCAATGGATCTCTAATATCTAAGCTGCCCGGGAAAGAACTGGACGGCGCAGAAGACACGTTTTGGGGGAAAATTCAGGACTGGCCATGTGTCAGGGTCACCCCGCAGGTAGCAGCCAAGGCTGTGACAGGCAGAGTGTGGCTGGTGGGATGAGTGCTCCAGCTACACACAACCACTCAGGGTGTGCCCTGCATGCTGGTGACTGGTCGTGAGAGGGAGTTGTAACAGCAAAGCATAGTGAGATCCCCAGGTTATGGGGCAGATGGTGACACAACCCTTATTAGTCTGGATTGCACCCCAGAGTGTGACTGTGCAAACACACACACACACACACAGGGAAGGTGTGCAGACACACTTTCCCACCACACTAATACAAACTCCAGTAAGGCACATGCACACACACACGGGAGGTGCACGTCGACACACACACAGGGAGGCACATGCACACAAACACACACAGAGGGAGGCATTCACACACACGTGTGCAGACACACACAGCGAGGCGCATGCACACACACACAGGGAGGCGGGTGCACACATACACACACACAGGGAGGTGTGCACACACAGAGGGAGGAGCATGCACACACACATGCGTGCAGACATACACAGGGAAGCGTATGTGCACACACACAGGGAGGCTGGCGCGCACACACACACACACACAGGGAGGTGTGCACCCACAGAGGGAGGTGCATGCACACACACATGCATGCAAACACACACAGTGAAGCACATGCACACACACACACACACACACACACAGGGAAGCGTGCACACACACGTGTGCAGACACACACAGCAAGGCGCATGCACACACACAGGGAGGCGGGTGCACACACACACAGGGAGGCTGGCGCACACACACACACACACACACAGCGAGGTGTGCACACAGCGGGAGGAGCATGCACACGCACATGAGTGCACACAGGGAGGTGGGTGAACCCACACACACAGGGAAGCATGCACACACGTGTGCAGACACACACGGCGACGCGCATGCACACACACAGGGAGGCGGGTGCACACACACAGGGAGGCTGGCACACACACACACACACACACAGGGGTGCACACAGAGGGAAGAGCATGCACACACACATGTGTGCAGACACACACAGTGAGGTGCATGCACACACACACAGGGAGGCTGGCACACACACACACACACAGGGAGGTGTGCACACAGAGGGAGGAACATGCACACACACACAGGGAGGCGGGTGCACACACACAGGGAGGTGGACAGACACACACACAGGGAGGTGTGCACACAGAGGGAGGAGCATGCACACACACAGGGGGTCGGGTGCACACACACAGGGAGGCTGGCACACACACACACGGAAGTGTGCACACAGAGGGAGGAGCATGCACACACACATGCGTGCAGACACACACAGGGAGGTGGACAGACCCACACACACAGGCCCAGGGAGGGCAGAGCATCCCTCACCCAGTCTTGGCGAAGTTGGTCCAGTAGGTCATCACCACGGCGCTAAGCATGACGTCGTTCTTGGAGAAATTGCAAGGGAAGAGGTCAGTGGGGCCAATCATGGGGATCCCGAAGACGTAAGGCACCTCGTCTCCATGGGCCGCATCAGACCATGCGGGTTTCATGAGGCTCTGGCAGTGGTGGTAGAAGGCGTAGAAGTAGGTTGGGGAGCCGTAGCGGGCATGCAGGTCAGCCGTCACCACTGACGGCTCCACCCACTGGTGGTCAGTGAACAGGGCCACCAGGGTTTTGCGACGTGTCTCGGGGTTGTCCCTGTCCGCCCAGTCTGTGTACATGAACTTGATGGTCTCCCGCAAGGTGTCCTTCCCCTCTGGGTAGCCATATAGGTTATCCACAAAGTTGGAGACGGAGTAGTCAAAGTCACTGCCCGAGACACCATCCTCGGGATCCACCACGCCCTCCACGAACTTCAGCCCCTCACCCTGGTTCACCCCCAGCATGATGTCGTAGTTCAGGAACTCGCCCTGCTCCATCAGGATCTCAGGGTCGTCCGGGATGACATCTCCATCGATGACAGGCCCAAAGGCCACGTGGTAGCGGGCTGGCTGGATATCTTGCTCTACCAGCTCCTTGGCACTCTTCTGTCGCAGACAATCCACCATGTCCACAGTGTCCAGCACGTTGCAGCCTACCTTGTCGGCCAGCAGGCTGGTATACTTCACAGGCTGGTAGTTGACTGCCCAGCTGGAGAGAGCAGAGCCACTCTGGATGATGGCTCTTTGGAAGAGACCTGCAGGCAAAGAGGAGCATGAATGGCAGGTCTTGGCAGGAGCACTCTAGGCACAGCACAGAAGGGGTGAACCAGCTCCTCTGTCTAGGAGCCCCCAAACACACACTCATCCCACATGGGGGGATAGAAGCAGGGGCTCTGGCTTCAGGAGAGGCCCTTGATGATGCAGGACTGGACCCTGGGGGGCATGGGACATTGCCTGCAGGCCTCTTCCTGCTGTCCTCCTCTTAAGGCAGGCAAGAGTGAGATGTGAGTCTAACTTAGGGGCACCTAAAGCCCCATGGGCAGCTTGCCTAAGGGCTGCATCTAATGCAGTGTCCCCCAGGTCCCAACAATCACAGGAACTTCTCAGAAGTCTAAATCATGGGATTGGTCTGTCCGCCCCCTGTGCCTGAGATAATTACAGCGCTGCCAGTGATTTTGGTCCAGGCCCACTGCGCTAGGTGCTGTAAAACACAGGCAGCATCTCCTCTGCAACAGGCTGAGTTTGTACAAGCAGCTAAGAGAGTAACTCACTGCAGAGGGGAAACGTGCACCTAGATTCATAGGTTTCATAGATTCATAGATTCTAGGACTGGAAGGGACCTCGAGAGGTCATCGAGTCCAGTCCCCTGCCCTCATGGCAGGACCAAATACTGTCTAGACCATCCCTGATAGACATTTATCTAACCTGCTCTTAAATATCTCCAGAGATGGAGATTCCACAACCTCCCTAGGCAATTTATTCCAGTATTTAACCACCCTGACAGTTAGGAACTTTTTCCTAATGTCCAACCTAGACCTCCCTTGCTGCAGTTTAAGCCCATTGCTTCTTGTTCTATCCTTAGAGGCTAAGGTGAACAAGTTTTCTCCCTCCTCCTTATGACACCCTTTTAGATACCTGAAAACTGCTATCATGTCCCCTCTGTCTTCTCTTTTCCAAACTAAACAAACCCAATTCTTTCAGCCTTCCTTCATAGGTCATGTTCTCAAGACCTTTAATCATTCTTGTTGCTCTTCTCTGGACCCTCTCCAATTTCTCCACATCTTTGTTGAAATGCGGTGCCCAGAACTGGACACAATACTCCAGTTGAGGCCTAACCAGGGCAGAGTAGAGCAGAAAAATGACTTCTCGTGTCTTGCTCACAACACACCTGTTAATACATCCCAGAATCATGTTTGCTTTTTTTGCAACAGCATCACACTGTTGACTCATATTTAGCTTGTGGTCCACTATAACCCCTAGATCCCTTTCTGCCGTACTCCTTCCTAGACAGTCTCTTCCCATTTTGTATGTGTGAAACTGATTTTTCCTTCCTAAGTGGAGCACTTTGCATTTGTCTTTGTTAAACTTCATCCTGTTTACCTCAGGCCATTTCTCCAATTTGTCCAGACCACCTGACCAATTCCCCTGTAGCACAGCCAGACAAGCCGCAGCAGGGGACAGCTCCCTAGGGGGCTGGGCACAGACACACGTCTACACTGTCTCAGCCTGCGTTCGTTAGCATTTCCTTCAAAGCAGCCGGAGTACGGAGTTGCAGGTACGCAAGGTAGAGTGGGACCATGCCTGCGACCTGGAGCAGCAGCATACTCAGTGCTACACAACTGGGGCCTGGCCCCATGGAGCCTACAGGCAAAGCAGAAAACAGAGCAGCTATGCCCCGGAAGTGGGTGATGCTCCTGCCCTGCTGAAGTCCAGCAGCCTTGAAGAGAGCTGGTGATGGCACCACAGAATCCCTCCAGCTGCAGCTGTCCCAGCTCTTCTGCCCTGGCACCACCCTTCCGAGTGCTGGTAGCTGGCAGAGCTAAGCCTGTGCGAGGGCAGCTTAACCCTGCGTGTCCCATTCAGCTGCTCCCTCTGGGTACCACCACTCTCCCCCGCCCCCCAAGCCATACTTCCTGCCCAGCTGGGCCCAGCTCTCTGCCAGTGCAGGCCTCGCAGGGCACAAAGGAGGCCTTTCTGCTGGAGGGAACACAGGAGGGAGTGGACTCTTGCCCTAGAAAGCAGGGCCACAAAGGCCCTGGCCCAGGCAGAGGAATGCATGGCCAGACTCCAGCTCCGCATCAATGGAACTTGTGCTCAGAATACAAAGAGCTCCCAGGAAATGGAGCCTGCGGGGGCTGAGATGGGGCAAGACAGGGCTTGGCGTGCACACCCTGGGGCTCTCTGCTCCCCAGCCTGCTCAAGCCACAAAAGCCCTGGGGGAGCGGAGAGCTCAGCCCCTGGGGGGCCTGGCCCAAAGGAGATCTAGCTGGTCCCGAGTGCAGAGGCCTGTACAAGTGCAGCCAGCGGTGCCAACCCAGCTTTGTCCTGGCACCTGCCAGCAGCACCAGGGCTACAGGATTAAGGTAACATGGCAGCTTCCTGACACCCATCCTGCCAAATACCATTCATTTCCCTGGGCCAGCAAACCTTCTGTGTGGCACCAGGGAACCATCCCAGCCCAGCTTCTCTGCCGGGGGTTCCTACTGGGAGCAGCAGGAGGGAGCAGGGCTGGTTGGACTACGGGGGAGGCGGGGGTGCTTTGGACACCGGGATTCCCACATGGGATTTGCCCAGGGCCCCGCTTGCCCAGGCTCCCAACTCTGACACTACCAGCAGCTGCTGGTCTTGACCTTTTCCATAGCAGGCCTGCCCCCGCCTAGCTAGGACCTAGCCAGCACGCCCTCCATTGGGCACAAAGGGAAGGGGGCAAGGGCTTGGGATCCCCGGACACTTGTTCCCTAGCTGCAGTGCAGAAGCCCTTCTGTAGCCAGTTCTGGAGGAAGCTGCTTCCCAGCCCCAGCCAGGCTGAGCTCTGGCTGAGGCTGGACGCTGGAGGGTACCAGGTCCATGACACCCATCCAGAAGCAAGGGTATGTGTAAAGTGACTGTGACTGTCCTCACCCACGCAACCCCCAATCTCCATCGTGTTCTCTGCTGCTCCAGCAGCCCCACTGAGTCTCTTGCAGGCTCCTGATTGTGATGAGCTCAGAGAATAGATTTGTTTTTCTCTTTGTGCTTCACAACCCCCTACCGCCTACACACAGATTTTTGTGCTAATATAATGGTGATGGGGAGTGACTTTTTAACAACATACTTCTACCAGCACGCTCTCAGGGTGGATCAGTTAGCCAGATAGCGAACGTGCCATAGGCAGCTCATCCCCTGCCCACCCAGGAACAGCGACCCCAGGACACGGCGAGTGGCTGTACTGCTTACACTGGACAGATGCCGCGTAGGCACTTTTGTGTGCAGACAAGCCCTTAGCCTCCTAATTTCCACCATTCCTCTGCCATCGTTTATGTTCCTTCCTCTTGGCCCCGTCGGGGCTGGATTTCCTGCTTTGCCTTTTAGCCAAACCAGGTTCTCTCTTGCCTTCCTGCGTTCTTGCCGGGGCAGAGATTCACCTGTTGCTGCAACTCCCTCCTGGCTGTGGAAACACTTTCCTTGCTAACGCTGAGGATTTTAATGTGTTTTCTGACGTGCTCCCTCCTGGTTTGAAATGCCCCACTATTCGGCCAGTGCACAGGGCAACCCCGCCCCAAGGATACTGAGCTGCCTTATATGGAAAGTGACCAATGTCTCCGTTCCTGCTATGCGCCCCCCTGCACTGAGCGGGGTGCAGTCTCCAACCCCGGGGGGGGTGGCTACACTGCAATCCCAGGTCTGTAGCACCTGCGCCCTCGCTGCTCTGTTTAGCCGTGTTAGCACGCTGCCCGGGCTGCAGTCACACTTGGGCTGCAGCCCCCCCACACAAGGAGACCAAATTTACAAGAAAAATAGTCTAAATGTCCCTTGGGCGAACAGAGGTGGGTCTGAGACCAGAGATGGCTCCCCTCCCCTATGCACCAAGCCCCTCCCCACCCTCAGCCACATTAATGAACCATAATCGCTGTGGCCTACCATTAGCTGAATGGGAACTCAGACAGTGCGCAGCCCAGCGTATTTTGCCGTCCTCCCCAAGGCTCACAAGCACACGCAGCGTTCTGGCACAGCAATTTACATTGTGGGAGCAGATCTCAACAGGTCCCAAGAGCCTGGACGGTGAGAACTCACTCAGCAGGGCAGGCTGGGCTAGTGCCCAGCTCAGCAGACACTGCCAATGGCGGGAGCTTCCCGGTGGCAAACAGGAATAGGTTTTGTTGGAATTATTTTGGGTATTTTAAATTACAGAAAGAAAAGTCTGAATAAATGGAGATGAGGGTGTCCAGAGCCTCAGAGCAAGGGACTGTTTCCCAGGACTCCTAACCACATCCCAATGGAATAGGGCTGGGCTTTCCCCCACTCGTGCTATGTGGCCAGGGCACAAGAACCAGGGAAAGTGAGCAGCTGGCTTTCAGGGTCCACGCGCAGAGTTAGGAGGGGCCTAGGTGTGCAATTGCTCTGGGCAGGGGGCCGGAACCATCACTTCTGGGATTTGCTTTGCGTGACAAACACATGTACTGGCATGTGGGGAGCAATGACACATGTGGGCACGGGGATTGATCTGGTTGAGCTTCTGACCCTCTAGTGCTTTGCAGGGCAGGGACTGTTTACTGCTTCAGATGAATTGGCATCAGAAGTTGAATCCTGTTTTCTGTTCATCAATGGGCAGGGGAACCACCCTGGTGCTCAGTGGCTGTTGGTGCTGGAGCCCCTGGGCACACAGAGGGTTTCTTTGCAGGGGAACTACCCGGTACTCAGTGGCTGTCGGTGCTGGAGCCCCTGGGCACACAGGAGGTTGGTTCGTGGGTTGCCAGGGGACTGTGCCAGTCAGCATTACTGGCTGTTCACTCCCATAAAGCTAAAGCAGTGGGCTTGTGCTATTGAATGTTTTCAGCCGTACTTCTCTGGAGAGCTGGCTCAAACTCATGGTTTCTTTATAGCTTAGAGGTCCACAGAGCTTCCCCTTGTAAAGCCAGCTTGAGGCCCCTAGGAGATTGTATTTGGAGGACCAGGGATGTCTGATTTAGGATATGTTCAATTACTGCCTTGGTAAGAACAAGGGGGTTGGGGTTTCTCGAGATGCGCGGACGGTCACTGTCACTACATCTCAGCA